CGCAAAGCGAAGGTTGGAGACCGGGCGATAGTTGGCCAACTCATCTGGGTCCAGGGAAGGCTTCTTGAGGAGGGGCCTCACAACGGCCTCCGTTAATAATTCCCCGGAACCAGGCTCGTGTACCCTCCCGAGCTGCCAGTACCAGCCAGGAGGGGCACGGATCTAATAAACATGTGGTTGCATTCAGCCTCCCCAAGACCCTGTCCACGTCCTCGGGAGCAACAGAGTCAAACTCCTCCCATATAACCGTCTCAAGACCTGGTCCCGTCTCCTCCCCCTGGGCCAACCAGTCGGAGTCCAAGCCTTCCCGGATCCGAGCGACTTTGTCATGCAGATACTGCGCAAAATCCTCGGCCCTCCCCTCCAGGGGGTCCCCGCCTCCCCTCAATTGAAGGAGAGAGCGGGTCACCCTGAAGAGGGCGGTCGGGCGGTTATCTGATGACGCGATGAGAGTGGAATAATAATTAGTTCTAACCACCCTCATCGCCACTAGGTAGGATCTAACATGTGTCCTGAAAAAAAAGTTAAGACTTTGAACATTCATGATTTACGCTGTAACATTTCAAAATGGAAAGCGTTGAATTGCCATGCTTTTCCAATAGATAAAATGATGGTGATCCAACCATACTTAAGTACTTCCATGTCTCATTGGCTTGTTTACATTTTTCCTAATAAAATTTGAAGACTTTAACCAGAGGACCAATCATGTATCATATGATCTCTCCACAAGCCTGACCATGGGATTGTATAAATGCTTTTGTAAGCCAAAGCCCATTCTAAGCATTTGACAAACCGACAGTCAAAATCGGTAGATCTTTTTGCCCTTAATAGAAAAAGACGTGCTCTGATTACATTAGGCCCATAATATGCAGTCTCATAACAGGAAGTAATATAACCACATCATAATAAGAAAATTCAATTAAAGGATGAAAAAGCCCAAACGGAAGAACAAACCAGTAAGGGGAACATCCTATTACTCACCTTTCAGCCAAATAAACTGAGATATGGTTAAAATAAATGCAGCTTACCTCCACCCCACCTTACAGTGACTAATCCAGTTACAGCAGCAGTCTCCAACCTTTTCAGCTTGGTGGACCGGGGGGGGGGGAGATGGGATGGTTCTGTGTGAGTGTGAATGTCCACCGCTCACGCAAGTGGAGCTGAGTGGTCTCAAATGTCACTTGCGCAGCCCGGTTCTAAACAGACCGTGGCCTGGTGGCTAGGGACCCCTGAGTTACAGTAATGCATGCTATTGCAGCTTTTTCCATTTCTATGAAACATTTATTTATTTAAGCACTGTGCATACTGATCATGACAACATGTGCTGTTTTCTTTCTTTTTTTTTTTTTTAAATGTCTTACAGAACGGCTTCGCAGTTGTACGGCCTCCAGGACACCACGCTGATCCCTCCACAGCAATGTAAGGAGAATCACCTCTGTGCCCTCTCTCTTCTGACTCACAGCTTACCTTCCTGATAGACCCAAGCCCCTTAGAGTCCATCGTGCCTGTGCTCTCAATGCTCCACTTCCTCTGTGACATCACAGGCACAGTTGGAACCCAGGTGCAGTAGGTCTGATCTTGACAGTGGTGAAGGTGGCTGAGAAAGTTGGGGAATGCAGTCATAAACAGTAATGGATACATCAGACGTAGCCCTGGAATTTATACCTTAGATCTGATTAAGCAAGGTGATAAGAGGGAGCAGAACTCCGTGCATCAGAGTCAAGCACAAATAAAGAGCAAACAAAAAAGAAGACACAGGAAGGCATGAGGCTAGAAAGCTGGGGACTGTGAGTTCTAGTTCTGCTTTAAGGCACTTATCCAGCTGGGTGAGCTTGGGCTAGTCACTTTCTTTAAGAAGCAGACAAAGGCAAAACTGTCATGGTTCCGACAGATGAAACTCTTCAAGGAACTTCGAGGCATTGTTTACCTTAGAGAATCTTTATTGGAGTAGCATAGCTTAGGCACTAACATAGTTGAAGCCAAAATCTGGATTCCCCTCCCCTTAGCACATAGTATCAAACACAATTCCTTCCCCTAATTAACAGTCATAAATCACATTCTCCAATTAGTTTGAAATGCAGGCTTTCCCTCCTGTTCTCCAACCCTGCCAATTCTTATCATCTCTTATTTCAAGCTCTGAATTCACACACTAGTACAATATTGTTATGTCTAACTAACTCCCACCACATTCCTCCTCCCCCAGCATCATCTAATTCTAAGAGTAAAGCACACGAAAGAAAAAGGCTGCATCTTCATATGTTGTCAAAGCAAGAATATCCAATGTGAGCAGCGTTGACAAAACATTTGCCAACAGTCTTGCTAAGAAAACTGCAGGGACTTGCCCAAGCAGTCACCAAGAGTCAACACTGGCTCAAAGGCACATACACACGCACACAAAAAAAGGAAGGGCAGGGCTCCAGTTGCATGGCTGTGACAGCTACCTTGATGCTTTTTATCCCCTCTCATAAGATGCTACTGGTAATACTTAGTTTTTGGGTTGTTGTTGTTGTTTTTTGAAAGCTTCTGATTTGATCTGGGAGCAGCTGCTTTTACCTACAAAGGAAGAGCAATTGCTTTCAGAATAAGAAGCATATCCAGATTTTTTTTTCTTTGTCTTTTTTGAAATGGCTAGATTTAAAAGCTTCTGTCCAGGCCAGAATGAGCAAGGATAATTTCTTATTTCTATTCCTCTGGGCAGGAAAAAAAAAAACCCAAGCAATAAAGCTAGCCAGTCTCCGCATGCCTTTTTTTAATTTTCTGGATCACAATAGAAGTTAAGACGAAGAGAAGCAGCCTGCCATCCTCCAGATGTTTTGTCCTAAACTTCACATAATCCCCCTGCCATTGTCCAAATAGTTGGAAGTGAGGCTTGTATCAAAACATTGAGATCTCAAAGTCTTAGGGGCCAGCTTGGCTGGCCCACTTCCAGGCTATTTCATTCCATCTTTCCCTATTTCCTTTATTTATTCTTTTTTTCCTCTCCATTCTTTAGCCAGCCCTTATTGTGTTTATTCGCTTTGAGCAGTTCAGTACAGATTCCTACTTCCTCCCAGAAAGTACTACACAGCCTGCTGATACGCCCTTATTCATAGTCAGGGCAACTTTGACTTCCCACAAATTTACAGTGTAAAAATGAGTTAGTATGCACGGTGATGAGTTGCTTGTTTTATTTTATTTTACATTTTATTTTATTTTTATTTTATTTTTGGCACCCATCTCGCTACGGATCAACTCTGGGCAGCTATTTATGTGTGTTGCTGGGTTTCAGTAAATTTGTGAAAGCTCTCCAACCAAAACAATGCATCTGAGAGCTTTGTCTGCAGTATCTGAGCAGTGGTGGCCCATTCCACACGCAGGTCTTCCCGATTTTGCCATTACAAAGTAGTGAATGTGGTATTGGAGAGAGAGAGAGGCCATTTTACAGAATATTTCCAACTGATTCTTGAGCTCAGTTTTTGGCAGGTCTCCACCAGCCAAAACGTGTCGCCTTGTAATGCTAAGCCCTAGTGCAGCACACAAGTGGAAGAATGCAGCAAATGGCCCCTTTGTGGCATAACACCTGGCCCCTGTGGTCTCTGCAGGACTTAGGCAAGAGATTGAGGAGAGGTTGGATTATTTTGGGGAGGCTGGTGTGTACCAGTTGGGCAGGATGTCCCATAAATACATTTGCTGCCCATTTTGGTTGTTCACCAGCTTTTTGTTCTCCATGTTCCTTGGCAGGGGTTTCTGCTTCTTCAATTCGGTGGCAATTGCAGCCAGGCAGCTCCAGCAAAAAGGAAAAATCGGCAAGATATTGATTGTTGACTGGGTGAGTTCCTCTTTCCACTTGTCAGACAGAAAATTTCTTGTTATCCTTGTGGAAATGAAAGAAAATTATTTCCAAACTTTGATCTACTATCCTACAAGCCCCATGCTCCCCTCCACCAAGTTGGTTGACTGAAAGTGACAGGGGTCATATTCCCGCATCAGTTGAATTTGCAGTACATTAGACATGGCAAAAGGGGAATTGGGCAGTTGCCATGCTATAATAGGAATCCCATTACTACTATAGTTCAAGATACTACATCAGCGGTTCTCAACCTATGGGTTGCGACCCCATTTGGGGTCGATCGACCATTTCACGGGGGTCGCCAAGCAAGGCTGTCCACCATTTTTTTCCCCTTTTCCGGCGGGTGCCTTACCTCCCTTGGGCTGGGCCAGCTGGTGGTCAGCCTGCTCCGTCTCTGCCACTTGCCAGCTACGTCTCAGCCAGCGCAAGGGGCGGAACCACGCATGCGCGGCGCTCCCCGGCAGGGAAAGTCCTCGACTTACGACCGGTTGGGTAGTCCTTGACTTATGACCGGTTTAGTCCTCGACTTACAACCAGTTTAGTCCTCGACTTACAACTGGTTTAGTCCTCAACTTACGACCGGTTGGGGGTCGTGGCATTAAAAAGGTTGAGAACCACTGTACTACATGAACCCAGCAATTGTGTTTTGCTAACTTGGGTTTAATGTTGGGTGTGAATTTGACCAACTGGAGGGCACAGCTTTGGAGGAAGGCTATAGTAGGATGTAAAATAGAAGAGCACTGGCAACTAATGGCCATATGTGTACCAACTTACAGGCTTAATGTAATGTGGAGATTCTCAGTCATCCAGGTCATGTTTGTCCCAAAAGGCAACTGGATTTTCTTGTTTTTCTTCGAAGACATTTTGCTTTTCGTCCAAGAATTTCTTTGAAGATGTTTTGCTTCTCATCCAAGAAGCTTCTTCAGCTCACGTTTTTCTTTGAAGACTTTTCGCTTCTCATCCAAGAAGCTTCTTCAGCTCTTGTTTTTCTTTGAAGACGTTTCGCTTCTCATTCGCTTTGAAGACGTCTCACTTCAGCTTCGCACCGGGAGCTGAAGAAGCTTCTTGGATGAGAAGTGAAACTGTCTTCCAAGAAAAATAAGAAAGTCCAGTTGCCTCTTGAAAAAAGCACCTTTGGGACAACTTGCAGGTTTATTACCTTCTCTCTTCCTCCCCCTCAGGATGTTCACCATGGTAATGGGACACAGCAAGTTTTCTACAGAGATCCAAATGTCCTCTACCTCTCCTTGCATCGCTATGATGATGGCAACTTCTTCCCTGGTAGCGGAGCAGCTGATGAGGTAATCTCCTGTTTTACATATATCTTGGTTTCCATAAATAAAAATATTACTGATACAGTACAGGAAAGGGGAAGCCCCAGATTTGCGCACAACGTGATCGTTAGTAAATTTTGCCTTTGCAAACTTAATAGCATGCCTCAAACCCCTTGAACCAACTGCTAGATCAGGAACCCCTCCCCCACCTTTATTTTATATCTCTGTGTGATAGTGAAAATGCAAATCTTAGCAAAATGCTCCTGTTCAAAAATGGTATGTTTTTTTAAAATTATTTTACTGCATTTCTGTCTTGTCTTTTCCTTCTTGCAATGCAAGTGGGAATTTTAACAGTTCTGTCCCAGTAAGAGTTCTGTGAGATATGTTGGGCTGAGAGAGAGTGACTGGTCCAAAGTCTCCTACAGAGCTCCATGCTGGAAAAGGAATTGAACCTTATCTCTCCAGTTATAATTCAACCCCTTTATCACTACCCATAGTACAAACAAAATCTAGATAGTCAATTAACTCAAATTAATGCATGGCTATAGCATCCTCACTTGTGGCTTCTTCTAAGCTTAAAGGATGACAATGCTTCCATAAAAGCAGAAGCCACTGAGCTTCTTAAAGGCACAGGGGCCCTCCTAAGAAACAAGACCTGACCACTTTGTGCTTTACCGCAGAGGTTCCCAACCTTTTTTGGTTGGTGGACCGGAGGGAAAAGGAGAGGGAAGGATTTTACGCACGCGCGTGCACAAACAGGGCTGCGAGCACACGTGTGATGCAAATGGGGCGGCGCTAGCACCCGCACAACGCAAATGGGGCGGCACTAGTACCCGCGTGATACTAGCCCTGCCCCATTTTCTTCGTGGCACCCCATTTTCACCGTGGTGCTAGCGCGAGTGGGGACGAGTGTGCTCACACACGTGCACGCACTGGCTAGCCTGTCCTGCAGCCCAGTGGCCAGCGGACCACGGCCCAGTAGTGGGCCACGGCCCACAGGTTGGGGGACCCCTGCTTTACTGCCCTTATTACCTACAATCTCTAAGTTTCTGTATATCCTATTTGTTAAGTTTCTCTGTCTCTGATTGATATCTGCTTTTCTTGGTTCCGCAATTTTTGGATTTTTTTTTAAGTTCCTGGTATGACTTTTAGGTCTCTTGGACCTCTGCCCACTTAGCTTTTCTTTAATTTTACCACAGGCTCATCCGTCCTAGGCTTTTAAGTAGGAATCAGCTGACAAACATCCCTCTCTCAGAATCTCCATCGTCGGTCTTGTTCCCCAAGTGCGCTGGTGAACCTTCTGCTCAGCCCATCCATAGGGAGCCCTTCTTGGCTCCAGGTTAGAAAACATAGATGCCCCCTTGGGAAATTCGTTGAAATTTAAACAGCGTTGGTTTCTGACTTCTTCTGTTCTTTTTTTTAAAGGGAGGTTAGAAGCTAAATGCATCTGAGGAGCCAGAAAGTTCTCTGGAGAACTTCATTAAGCTAGAGCTGAACATTTCCAGCTCTGAGAAAAAGATGGAGAACTTTGCCCCAGCTAAGGGTGGGAGGAGGGCAAATCGGATAGGCCTTTCAAATCCATCATGCTTTACAACCTGCTTTCAAAGGAGCTTAGTGCTGAAAGTGGCCAGGACTGGAGTTGGCCCCCATCTGGTTCTCATCTCTCCCTCCAGCAGGAGATATCAAAGGGGCTGAAGCATTGTTTATGATGCCGCACAAATCCCTGGGAGACTGTGGCATATCACTCAAGGCTTCCCCCTCCCCACCCCCATTATGAGCTGTTTCCCCCCCCCTCCTTCATCAGACACACTGTCAGTTTTGATGGTGAGCCCTGCCCCAACGGACGGGGATTTTTCAACCCTTTCTTTTTTTTCTTCTCTTTCTCTTGCCCAGCTAGCAGACATGGCCGTGATTTGGAAGGTTGTTTGTTTGTCCTTCAGAGAGGGATTTCCTGCCACCCTTATCCATTTTCTTCATTTTCCTTCTCTCCTCCTCCTCTTCTTCCTGCTCCTGGAAAATACTACTGTTCCCTCTTTCCTTTCACACACAAAGCAAGCCAGGTTCTGGGTTGTAACTCCAAAATGGGGGGAGGGGGAAACAGAGAGTTTTCTCTTGGAGTCAACCTCTGTCTTAGGTCAGAAGCCTGCTGCCCCAAAAGCTAACAGGGCTATGTTTCATATGGAAAAGTTTTCCTGTTCCGTGTTGCACTCGTGCCTCGTATTAAAACATTGGGGCATTCGCGCTGCAACATTCATTGGCCATGGGCTCAACTGTGGAATGACCAGGTGTGCCAGAAGAGGTTAATAACAAGTGGTCTCCAACATGTATGGGATGCCATACAAGTGTAGAGGAAACCTAGCCACCGCCACCCTCCCCTGGATTTTGGAAAACTGGACCTTCTTGTTTGCAGGGGAGAAAGAGAGGAAGATCAGTGTATTTCTGCACATAAAACTACTGAACATTTTTCCTTTGCAAGAAAATCTAAGCATAACACTGCACATGAATATTTTTGGGAAAGTACTGTTGCCTACTCTGTGCATTAGAGTGGCACTTGGGATTTGTTTCCCAAAAGATACTGTATGTTTGATGTATGCAGCACTCCAGAAATAGTGCAGAGGGTTCTTCTATTAATCATTCTTTTAAGGATCACCAATTTAACATGAAAATTCTTCTGTCCATAACCTTCGCTCCCTCTTTAACTGGAAATGTTGAGGGTGGGGGAAGGAGGCAAAAAACAATACTAACATTATCTAGGAATTATTTCCTGAAATGACATTTGGGGGTGAACTTTGGAATTGTTTCTGGTGTTTCATGCAGTACGGGAAGCAGCCCAGTTAAATTTATAATTAAAAAAATGCTTATCCTTGTGACTGGAAAAACCTTTTCTGGGGAAAATGGAGAATGTTTGCCTTGAGTAATTTTTTGTTTAATTATTTTAGGAACGCAGTAAATAAATGCTGTATTTCAGAGAAAGAATTCCCAAAGCAGTGGTCATTTAATTCTAAGAGATTTGTTTTTCTGTTGGGGGGGGGAAGTATCTGAATAGTTAGAGATGGGAAATCTGATTTCTTATCGTAGGAAAATGAAGTACTTGGGCTTCCTTCCCAGTTTATTGTGGATATGCTTTGTCTTCCAAAGAATGCCTCCCACCCACACACCCAAAAATAAATGCTTAGTACACATGATCATTCACTACGATAAGATCACCAGAAGTGAAACCGTAACAGTGGAGTTAAAGGAAGCATCCATAAACTGCCGTTTTCCTGTTATTGAATACAGGTCATCTCTCCAGTGCTGTCAATATAATAAACTTGGGATTGGGATATTTTTAGTTTAATTATCTTGGACGTCAGGATCCTCAGCAGGGCTGCAGTGAGGCTGTTCGGTTGATCTGGAGATGTGATCATCTCAACAGTGGGAGACCTGACTTGCTCCCTGTTTTGTTTTTTTTTTCCAGGTGGGCTCCGGGGCCGGAGAAGGTTTCACTGTCAATGTCGCTTGGACAGGAGGTCTTGACCCTCCCATGGGAGATCCAGAGTACTTGGCGGCTTTCCGGTAGGCCCCCTCTCCTTCAAGCTTTGATACAATGCCTATTATTCCAATAGGGCCCTGTTGACTTACGTTGGCAAAGGCTGCTTTGAATAACTTTTTAGTTGCAATGGAACAGTTTACTTTTAGCGGGGGGGGGGCGGAGGGAGGGGGAAATGAAGGAAGAAAAGAACAGGCGAGCTGAGTTAGATAGATTTCTCCAAGCTGGTGCTCCCCAGATGTCTGAGATGACAACTTGTTTCATCTGGTGTCATGTTGAGGATGATTCAAGGAAAGCATCTGGCAAGTTTGCTCCCACTTTAGGCCAGATTTAAGTGTGCTTTGTTCCTCCTCGCAATATCTCAGCTCCTGTGCTAATTCTGGAGCTGAGCTTATCGTTTGATGTAAGAGGCGAACCCTTTGCTGCCCAAGCACCAAAGATCAGAACCGGAGGAACAAAGTAGGCAGCATGATTTATTTGAACAAGTTTACTTTTAGTAGCATGCAGGAACATTGTCTAAAGGGCTGCAAGCACGCCTGTTTTTCTTGGCTGATTGTTTTCATCATATGGGACAGGAAGGCAGGGAACGGGGCGGGCAAAACTTCAGAGTCAGGGAAGGAAGCCTAAGAGTGTTTATACTTGGAAGTCAGTCTCATGAAGTCCAGTGGGATTTTTTCCAAATAAACATGATTAAACATAGGATCAGGCTGTAAATCTTTCTTTCCTGGGTTGTCAGAAGTTGCACGCACACCTCCGCTGGTAGCTCTGACACACTTTCTCCATCTCCTCTCCCCATTCCATTGGCCCACAATCCTGGCTGCTCCTACCAAACTTCTGAAAACTAAACTGAACTAAACCAGTTCAGTTCCTTCTTTTGTGATCCAAAGCTAGTATAATACTCCCCAGGATGTGAAGTCAATGAGAGAGGCACTATGTTAAGAGTCCTCCCTCATGCCATCATCATCCCAATTGCTAAGAAGACCTGTGCTAAGCTTCCCACATACTCGTAGCATTTTTTGGAGTGTGTGTGCAAGTCACCTCCCTGTTACAGACATTATTTTGCTAATTTTTCTGCAACCATCCAGTAAGGTAGGTCAGTGTTATGATCCCCATGTGGCTGAGAAGACTGGGGTAAGAGACCGTGGCTCTGTATAACTGAAGGGCCAAAAACAAAGTTACAGTCTTGCTCATACTTAGTTGAGTTTCCTAAGGCCAAATTAGAGGTCATCTGTGGAGTATGAAATGCAATTAGCAAATTGTATGGTGCTACCAATGATGTAAAAAAAAGCAATATGGATTTACAGTCCATTCAGGAGAAATATTACATCCTCATCTGTTTTAGGGCTTCTGTCTCAAATTTAGTTTTGGAAACTTCCTTAAGGTTGTAGCTATGATAGACAAAGCAGCTAAGAGGCTACAGAAAGAGTACCTAAGGCCTTGGGACTACAAGTTGTCCACCTTTGCTTTAAAGCAGAGGTCTTCAAACTTGGCCCTTTTATGACTTGTGGACTTCAACTCCCAGAATTCTTCAGCCAGGCACGCTGGCTGAGGAATTCTGGGAGTTGAAGTCCACAAGTCATAAAAGGACCAAGTTTGAAGACCCCTGCTTTAAAAGAATCATTCCCTCAAATATCGCTGCATCCCTTTGGCATGTTGAATTGCTCTGCTGCATCACCACTCTGTAGCATGCAGAGGAGCTGTGTTCTGGTGAGCCTCTTACACCCCCAAAACCACACAACCAAATGTTTAGTAGCGCTTGGGAATGCCAGATGGTCAGAGCTAGCTTCTCCGGCCTGAGGAACGAGACCCACAGCACTTGGCAGAGTCTCCATTTTGAATTGCAAGGCCTAACTGTGCCAAGCCAGGCTCTGGCAAAAGGCCACCCTCCCACAGCTGCCCAACACATGTGCTTTGATTGCACTTAAAAGGGCTCTATAAATAGTTTCTTCCCCCTACCCCACATATCCCCACTTTTTGCTCCATACAGAAATGCAGCTCCCAGGCCCCGTGTCTCTTTGAGTTGCTTGCCAAATGCGATCTAGTTGATGGATGAGATTCTCTTATGTCCCAGTGGGCAAGATGGAAGGCCTGTTGGGGCTCTCTGTGTACGAGATCTGGGAATGGCTCCGCACAGCGGTGCATCGAGGGATGAGTTCAAATCCAAGCCAGCTTCCTCCTTGACATGGTTGGGGCCTGCTCCAACCCATCTTAAACTTCCATTGTCCCACAAAGAGGGCTGGATGATGGCTTTCTGTGGAAGAGCATGGGGCTGCTTTAGAACTCAGACCAGTTACAGAGGCTGAAAAGTAGCCCAAGGAAGTGAGATACTAATTAACAGTCTGCTCCTTTAAAAAAAAAAAAAAAATCTCCTTTTCTTGGAGGTGGGGAGGAGGTATAGGAGGAAGAAGCAGTTTTGTAGATTGTGAATTGATGAGCCTGAAATTATACACCCAGTGCTTGCTTGATACTAGAGCAGCGGTTCTCAACCTATGGGTCGTGACCCCATTTGGGGTCGATCGACCATTTCACGGGGGTCGCCAAGCAAGGCTGTCCGCCATTTTTTCCCCTTTTCCGGCGGGTGCCTTACCTCCCTTGAGCTGGGCCAGCTGGTGGTCGGCCTGCTCCGTCTCTGCCGCTTGCCAGCTACGCCTCGGCCGGCGCAGGGGNGGCATTAAAAAGGTTGAGAACCACTGTACTAGAGGATCCAGGAGCTTGGGGTGGTGGCCATTGGTCAGGCACCTGTCATGCCGAGTTGCCTTAAGTTTACCTCCTCACCAAAGTTATTTTCATTTGTTTATCTTTGTTTCATATTTTTTTTAATTAAATGTGGTCAGGGGTGGGGTAAGGGGTGGTTTTATACCTTTCCTCTGCCAGAGGGGTTTTTTGGGGGGTGTTGCTGCTAAAATTGCTTTCTTCCACTTGAGCAAAATTGTTTATGTGTTTATTAATGGAAAAATGCTGAAGAGGAAAATGGAAAAATGCTGGAGGGAGGGAGTTTTCGCACAAACACACACACACACAGAGAGAGAGAGAGAGAGAGAGGGGGGGGGGGAGAGAGAGAGCACTGTTTCTCCAAGACAGATTCAGCCCTCAAGAATGCATCTGTATGAACGATTTTTAAAAAGTAATTTCCTGAGGGAAAACTGTATGTGGCTCAGCATCATATGTGGTTGGAGACTCATACTTTGGTGTCCCATTTTTCAAAATTAGCTGCATTTATGTCCCTTTGAAAGAAGGGGGATGAATTGGGGCGGGGGAGGGCAACAGGGGAGGAATACTCTCAAGCTGGCCTCACTTCCATCCAGGCAGTGGCCAAATCCAGATTTGTTCAACCTCAGTGTCAATGTGGGACCCCATGAGATTCAGTGATTTTCATGATTTCCTAAATTATAACACTGTGGTGCCCCATGTTGCTAATCCTAGTTACATAACTTGTCCTTTCACATTTATACTTCAGCGTATCATGGAAATGAAGTATTGCAATTTTTTTAAAATAATAAATAATAAAAGAGATCTAACAACATTTCAGAACTGATGCAAATGGAAAAATACATGTGTAAGATTGTAGCTTTTTTGTTTTGTTTTGTTTTGTTTTGTTTTGTTTTGTTTTGTCAGTGTGCCTAAGCAAGGCAATGTTTTATGTTGTGAATAATAGTCTGAAGCATCCAGGAATCTAGAGAGTCACTGATGCTAACCATCCTGATTTAATTTAATTTTTTGAATTTAATTTAATTTCCTCCTCCTTTGCAGGACGGTGGTGATGCCAGTTGCCCAAGAGTTCTCCCCGGATGTGGTGCTGGTATCTGCAGGCTTTGATGCAGCCGATGGCCATCCTCCTCCACTAGGAGGTTACAAAGTCTCAGCCAAATGTAAGGGTCCTTCAGGGTGGCAGTTAACCGGGAAGAGTGGTGGACATTCTAATGGGAGAGTGAGCAGTTTACTCTTTGCCCAGAGAGAACATCTGTCCAGCTGTTGTCTACAGACTCTGCGGCATCTCTGGGGCAATACCTAGAGCAGAGGTCTCCAACCTTTTGGGCACCAGGGACCGGTTCCGTGGACAGAAGTTTTTTCATAGATCGGAGGGGCGTGGTTTTGTGTGTCACCTGCATCTCGTGAATGGGGCTTTGCTTGTTTGTGCGGCCCAGTTGCTGTGGCATGCTGTGATCCAGTACTGGTCCATGGACCGGGGGTTGGGGACCTCTGATCTAGAGAGTTGGTTGAATGGTCATTAAGAGGGAATGTACCACAGAGCACATCTTACCACATGATGGTTTTCTTCAAGCTTTCTTTCGTGATTCTTTAGAAGCATGTGAAAGGAAACCAGTTATGACAAAGATGAGTTGTGTGTGCGGGCCTTCTCTTGCAATGTCCAGCTACAGTGTTTGCTTAAAGGCCAACTCTTTGCAGATGCAGAACAAGGGCACAATAGAATCCTCCCTGAGCCTACGGAACATCTTCTGTAGGAGGAGAAGGGATATGGAAGCTAGAAAATTTGGCTAGAGCAGAGCTGGATGACTAGATAACCACAAAAGGTTTCTCTTCTGTTCTTTTTGAGGAAAAAGACGTCCACAGTCGCAGCCAGGAAGGGCCGATACTCTTGTCTCTTCTAGGAGAGACCCTACCAGAGAGGTCTGATTCCCTGGTTTCTTTTGGTTTCCTCTGCAGGTTTTGGTTATATGACCAGGCAGTTGATGAATGTGGCTGGTGGGGCTCTCGTTCTAGCCCTGGAAGGAGGCCATGACTTGACTGCCATTTGCGATGCCTCAGAGGCCTGTGTGTCTGCTCTGCTGGGTAACGAGGTGAGTGGAGCTAGATGGAGATTTGGCAGTTGGGAGAATCCAGAGCAGAATGTCATAGAAATGGTTTTTAGCACTAGGTTTCTGCTAGACAGAATTTTTTTAAAAAGGGGCACCTCAAGACATTCCGAAGGCTGGCTTTTCCCTATGGAGTGACTACAGCTACTGCCTTGTGTAGCGCTCTAAAAGCTGCAGAAAAACATTGACCAATCAAGCAGTTAAAAAGAGTCTGATTCAAAAAACGTAACTAGATGTAAAGAAACAAAACCATAGCAAAAGTAGGAAGGAGCAGAAAGCAAAGCCTAGGAATACATCAGAATGCCCAGACAAATTGGACTAATCAGATGGGATAGTCCATAATCCCGATGGTTCTCGATACACTTATTAATCTTTCTCTTATGAAGGAACATTTGACTTGCTTGAAAGATGCTACATAAAATCCATTATACCTCCCAAAAAAAAGAGAGAAGCAAATGCTAATATGACAAGCATCCTATCCAGATTTCCAGATTTTTATGTTAATCTGCATGGAATCTAGGGCAATATATGATTATTTTCCCATTCCACACTGTTTTCCCATGACAAAGTTTAGGTTGGGAGAAGAGATTGCTCAAGGTCACTTAACCAGCTTTCAGAGTTGGAAATGGAATGTTGGAAATACAGCTATATAAATGTGACTAATAAATCAATAAATACAATGTAAGAGTCCCAATATTTTCAACACGTTCCCTTTCGGTAACAGCCATGCAAATGGGTGCTTTGGGATGCTCACAGAAAGGCAGATAACCTCCATTGTTATACCCTAGCAAGTACTATGCTGAAGAATGCCTCTTCCCATCCCTTAAGCCAGGGGTAGGCAACCTTGGCTCTTTTATGACTCGTGGACTTCAACTCCCAGAATTCCTGAGCCAGCATGGCTCAGCTTGGAAACCTCTCCCTTTCCCCTCAGCATGGCTGGCTCAGGAATTCTGGGAGTTGAAGTCCACGAGTCATAAAAGAGCCAAAGTTGCCTACCTCTGCCTTAGATACTTACTTTGACTCTCTTATTACAATTACATGACCAGCCTTAAATAAATATGGTCATTCATCCTCAGGGTTCCTTTGGTTGTCCATATCAGTTGCAATGTGAAAAAAAATGTACAAAGTAGATGACCACCAGTAGGAAAAGTTTTTTTATTATTATTTTTTTAAAAAGTAATTATTTTAATTTATTTTTAAAATAATTATTTTTAGTTCCCATTCCCATTCAGGTCCGGAGGCACTGTTTTAGGTGCTTCCGAGTTGAAAGGATTAGTTGGTGACATCACCGTTGCCTGGGAGACGCCCATGGGGGCTGCTTTCATGTCTCCATCAAAGAGCTTGGAGCAAATGACGGGAGCTCACCCCGCCATGCAGCAGCACTCGGGTCTCAAACGTGGGCTTGCTATCCTTCAACCCAGCATCCTAACCACATGAGCTATCACACTCTTTTTCATTTATTTTAATCACTTTTATAGCTACCCATGTTATGATGCATAGGCCTGGATGGCTCACAAATCAAAAACATTTTTTTTAAAAAAAAAAATGAAATAAAATCTCCCGGCCTTCTGGGGCAACACTCTCCCAAACATCAGTGTTCCACCTTGCTGTCCTCCAGTTGCATTCTATTCCAATACTTGTAGGAAGAGCCAGCTGTTCAAAGCCTGGCAGGTAGGAGTTTGCCAGATCCCTGAGAAAAAGGTGTTTTACAAGGCAATGCCAGCTATGGAGAAGAGATGCTTCCTAGGTCCTGCAGAGGATGATATTTCAGGGAAGGAACTTGGTGCACTTGCAACCTTTCTCATGTGGTGGAACAAGTAGAGACCTTCAGAAAAAGGTCGTTTCACGAATGATCTGGCCCTGTGCCTTTTTGGACTTTAAAGGTGACAACCAGCATCTTGAATTGCACCCAGGGGGAAAAACCTGGAAGCCAGTGCTGCTCACACAGCAGTGGTGTAATATGGGCAAACCCTGGCCCAGTTGTAATTTCTGGATGGTCTTCAAGGGCAGCCCCACGTAAAGTGCATTCCAATAATCCATCCAGGAGGTGGCCATGGCCTGAATGGCCAAGAAGAAGAACTTCTGGTCCAGGAGTGGTGTCACAAGATGGATCTGTGTAAAGGAACCCTCCAGGCCAAGAAAGAGACCAACAGACTGGGCTAATCCCCTTTAATAGGCTGGCAGCCGTTCCCTTTATAGATGTACTAGGTTGCAACATGCTGAGTGGTCATTTCTAGCAACCGTGGCCAAACAAAACTCAACCTAAGTATTTGAGCTGGCTTAACTAAATCCAATAAGAAGACCTTTGAACCAAAGAGGCTCTTTTGGCTTTTAAAGGGCATATAAGACCACTCCAGCTCCAAATAATAACTTGGTGAGTCATTTGGGAGCCTCATGATACTTACTGTTAGTTCCTGGTTCAGAAATTGGATGCCCATGTACACAGGGAGCCCCGTTCTATAACACCATCCATGCACAGATTCATCGCCATTCCTCCCAGTCCTATTGAAACAGAATCACCGAGAGGAAAGGGAAAACCATGGAGATTCCCCCCCCCCCCATTGCAGATGTCTGCAGGTGTCAGATGCAGTGTTTTTTTTGTTTTTTTTAGAAGATTCCTTGCGAAGAAAAAGAAAATTTAGTCCCTTTTGGTTCTGGGAATGTTAGGCAGGGTGATTAGAAAAGTTCTCCACCTTAGCAAAGCTGATCATGATCACTGGGTTTCTATTCTCATGAGCTGTGGCAACCATTGATTTGTTCTGCCAGTAAACTGGACAGCCATTTGTCCAAAATGGTATAGGGTTTCCTGCCTGAGCAGGGGGTTGGACTAGATGACCTCCAAGGTCCCTTCCAAGTTTATCATCATCATCATCATCATCATCATCATCATCATCATCATCATCATCATCATTATTATTATTATTATTATTATTATTATTATTATTATTATTATTATTATTATTATTAAATATCAGGTGGCTACTGAAAAACCATAAAAGACTTCACAAATGGGCAAGCCACGCAGTTGTGCTCAAAGGCGTCAAGGAGGAGATGGACTATAGGCTATCCACCCACAATTCAGAGAGTGTATATTCCTTTTTGGAACATATTGAATATTTGATCTGGATTGGGTCTTGGTTGGTTCACCCTCATCCAAACCATTACCTCACCCGGGCACTGAAGCAGGACCTCCAGAGCTGCTTTAGATGTCCGAGAGAATTATCAAGCTCCCCACTCTTCTCCTGGCAAGGGTCATGCCTCAAGATGCTCAACAGTCTTTTCACATCAGGTTTGAATGAAGATCAAAATGGATTGAGAACAATCATTTTCATTGCAAAGTGACTAGAACTGAATTGAACACCACTTTCTTGCACACCTTTTCCTAAGATGAGAATATTGGCCACCGGCCTATATTAATAACTTCTCAATCCAAATTAGTTTCAATGATGGCGGCTTTTAAATTGGCTGGAATTCTCGCCTTCTCTCAGTCAGATGTTTTACAGCCTCCTTATCCAGCCAACTGTCCCTTCATTGATAAATTTAATCAACCATGACAGCCAAAGATATAGGCCAGGGTGCCTGGCTGAACATCTAACTTATATCTCTATGCCCATTTATCATTCCGTCCTTGTTTTTGCCAACTTCGTACAGCTGCAGGTCATGCTTTTCCCTGAATGAAAAAAAGAGCCTCTCTTATCCTCTCCTGTTTTCCCTATTTATTATATTTTATATGTGTCCGTGTGGGTGTGTATACAAATAAATAAGTGGATGTGTGTTGAATTGTTTACCATCCAAGGCAATCCTTCCGAGAGGTTTTGTATAACTTGTTCTAAACACGCCTCTTTATTTGAAAGAAAGTCCAGGTTAGTTACTCATAGAGAGCTACAACAGGGAAATCCCATAACAATTATTTGGTTTATTTGCTGAATAAAATGATCCCGCCTGGTGTAGAGACATGATCCTCTTGTACTCTGATCCTTCTTCAAAGTTATGTCTTGTGGCCTACTGGCAGTTCCTTTTCAGCACACACCTTAGCAAGTGTACCAGTTGCTGACCCCTTATGGCATCTTTTCTGGCCTCCTTGCTCCAGACTTATAGATAAACCTGTTTTATTCCTACAGCTTGAGCCTCTTCCAGAAGAGATCTTGCAGCAGAAACCTAGCACTAATGCCGTACATTCCTTGGAGGCAGTAATCCAGGTGCAAAGTAAGTGGAGGGGGTCCTCTTATTGTGAAGTATAGAGTGGCATATATAAGAGAGGGACTACCTGTGTTTCCCCGAAAATAAGACCGGGTCTTATATTAATTTTTGCTCCAAAAGGCTTATTAGGTCTTATTTTGGGGGAAAATATGGTACTAAATGCGTCCATCTGGCTGATGAACTTAACTGGGGTTTTTTGGGGGGTAGGGCTTATATTATGAGCATCCTGAAAAATCATGCTTATTTTCTGGTTGGGTCTTATTTTGGGGGAAACACCATACTACAAGCACTGCTTGACATTGCAGCGGTCTGTGGGAAATGTCTTTGAGAGATCGGAGAAAGAGGAAGAGGCACGGCGGACTAGGCAGTGGTCAAAAAAGAGTCAGCTTAACCTGCAGAAATGATGGGACCATGACTAACATTTCACAAGGGATCCTTCCTAGTGTCTTGGGCCTTGTAATGGCGAAGGGGTGACTGATGTATTTTCAGACTTACAAGATTCTGTTACTGTAACTTTACAATAATGTTAGTACTCATAGATAGAACTTCTTGTCTGGATTGCCTCTGAGGGTCGATATCAATCTTACAAGTCTGAAACTGCCATCTCTCCCGCACCACCATTAACAGCCCAGAAAGCTAGGAATGGCCATTTCTGAGACGTTGGCCACGCACCCATTCCTTTTGTGGCTAAATCTGCCTTACTTCTGCCTAGTATGCTGCTCCTCCTTCTCTTGTCTCCCAAGGACATTCTCACAGACAATTACAAGCAGTGCCTACCGTTTGTAGGAAAATATATACCTCAGTCAAAAATAATTAGCAATTATTTTTGAAAAGGGTCAGGTGGGGCGTATTTATCCAGTCAATCCATGTAATCAATTGTTAGTTTCTATCGAATCTGGCATGAATTTTCAGGCTGAATAGAACCTGGAAAAAAGCGGGCAAGCGGGGAAACGTCATAGCAACTTTCTTAAAACAAGAGGTGGTCTACAGTAGCTTTTCTTGCCTGAATGTTTCAAAGAAGAGTACATTTTCCAGATTCTTTTTTTTTTTTTTTGCATTTGTTATTTCCATCTCTCTTCTGCTTTGGAAAGTAGCTTGTGAACAGAGATCTTACAGACTTTGTGCCTTTGAGCAAGGCCTCTTTCTTTACTGTGCCTATATTATATATTTTATAGGGCATTTTTCAGAAAATAGTGATGTCAAAGGCTAATTCATTCAACCCGGAAGTGCCTCGGTGCTTCTGACACAAGCAAGCAGTGTATTTAACAAATCCTTGAATGTAAATGATACTGTTCTTAGTAAAGCAGTAATAAAGAAATGGAATGGTACAGTGACAAATTAGAGCCTGGGAGACTCAGTTGCAAGTCAGAAACACTCAGCCTAGTCGGCCTCAAAGGATTGTTGATGAACATTAAAGAATTCCAGGAGACACGGGTGAATTACCCATGCAACATTAGGATCCAACTTTAGGGAATGTAGATTCTTTCGATTGTGTTCAGTTTGCAGTCTGAATTTCAGACTGCAACGTTTTTTTAAATCTGAGTTGTTCCTAGATAGCCTGCATCTAGAATAGCTAGAAGACAGCTGGTGTTGGGAAAGGGGTAGAAAACACAGGGTATGTTGCAAACTTGCTGTAGTGAGCCTTTAACTATCACCCTGTGCTGTTACAACACATCTGATTACATACAGTATGGTGGGTATGGAGCTTAAAACAAGTCCCCTCAGTTTGGTTCCTTGGATACACTGTTTGATTCAATACACTTACATCTGAGTCTAGAGAAAAGAAGAACTAAGGGGGACAGGATAGCAGTATTCCAGTATTTGAGAGGCTACCACAAAGAAAAGGGGGTCAACTTGTTTTCCAAAGCACCAGAGGGCAGGACAAGAAACAATGGATGGAAACTGACCAAGGAGAGAAGCAACCTGGAATTAAGGAGAAACTTCCTAACAGTGAGGACAATTAATCAGTGGAACAGCTTGCTTTCAAAAGTTGTGGTTGCTTCATCACTGGAAGTTTTTAAGAAGAGATTGGACAACCATTTATCTGAAATGATATAGGTTCTCCTGCTTGAGCAGGGGGCTGGACTAGAAGACCTTCCAGATCTTTTCTGATTGATTGATTGATTGATTGATTGATTGATTGATTGATTGATTGATTGACTGACTTATGGATTCAATGTGAGTCCCTCTGTGCATCATGTGCCATAATGGACATCCTGCCTTTTCTCTTCCAGGCCAGTACTGGAGCTCTGTACGTCGTTTTGCCTCCACTGTAGGATATTCAGTTTTGGAAGCCCAACGTCACGATGTGGAAGAGGTGGAGACAGTGACAGCACTGGCCTCACTTTCTGTAATGGCAGAAAAAAAGTGAGTGTGTCCCTTAATTATTAAAACGGACCTCCAGTTTGCAGTGTGGCTATCGGGAAAGACAAGGGTATCAAATGTTGAAGCTAGGTTGCCGAGACTAACCTACCTGAGCGAGAAGTGCTTCTCAAGTCCAAATGCCCTGGGCAACAGCACTAATCAAAGGCCAACCCCATCACATCCCCATTTTTATTTTGAAGAACTATTTGCCTGTTGGGGCATTTTAATTCAATGCCCCCCCCCCCCGCCAAAAGAGCAGAAGGAAGACCATTACTGTACCAGCTACATGCAGCTCCACTTTCAAGACATTGGGACTTCTCGCAAATTGGTCTTGAAAAATAGCTGCGGTGCATCAGCCTACAAGATGAGCCCGATCCAAGTTGCAGCTCAGGGAGGCATGCAGAGTTGATCAAATCTGACCCACAAAGGGGAGAGCCACCATTTGGGAAAAAGCAGCATCACAAATAACGGTGTTTGATTTGGATCTGGGAAACATGAATTTAAGTCCGTGCTCCCCCGTGGCTTGGGTCCAGTCTACCTTTTAAGACTGTTGGGAGGATAGAGTGAATTTAGTGTAGCAGCTGTGCAGTCATGTGGAAAAAAACATGGCTAGGGAAGACAGGGTTAGCCCAAGCTAATTAATTCCTACTTACTTTACTTCATGCCTCTAAGTAAAAATAAGAGCGTGCTCTCCAGAGCCAAATCTAAGGGGCAGAAATGAATTTACCCTAAGGTCAGACTGACCTTTATCCTGGAAACATCCCCAAGCTATTTAATACAAGCATGTAAATACTCTTCCATCCTGTTGTATTTGGGGCAATTTCTGCTACATTCTGCACTTTGAGGAGATCCTTCAAGAGCAATCCTATGTGAGGCACATTACAGACCTTATGTTACCAGTGCATTATGATGCAGTTGGTGGTAGATAGGTCCCTGGGGCAACTCAGCATTCTGACAGACAGATCTCTCTGCTTCCTTTGACTCCCTCCCCCTTCCTCCCCCCCAGAACTACAAGTCCCAAGCATCCCCAGGAAGAGGGAATGAATGTTGACCAATTTATCTCCAAGCAAGTGACTTAGCTGGGACTTGATCTTTGTCTTTTCCTAATCCTTAATGTCCTGGCTTCTTCTGTTTTAGGCGGCAAGGAGAACCAATGGAAGAAGAACCCATGAACCAATGAAGAGCTGTTCTATCATCCACCAAGAACACATAATTCATTGTGGCTTGTTACTTGTATCACAGTCCTGGCTCCCATCTGCTGCACAGCCCATATTACCCTCAGCCACAAAGCTGGAAAACTGACTCCAAGTGCAGGCAGAGAGGCTCTGCAGAAGGAGGCATGTGGCAGACCTTCCAGGATTAATAGCTACCCCTGGGGTGTTACCATGTGCACAATTCTGCCAATGCAAGCAACAGAAACAGAGGACACAGGAGAGCAGCTATATGGACTGCCAAATTGGACATTTTACTCGGATGTCGGGGTGGTGCCTTTCCCCTCCAGAACCAAAGATGTCCATAGAGTGATCCTGCTGTACAGGAGCCCAAGTCATTCTCTTTTTTAAAACAAAACTTGGTCCCTCGGTTGAGGATGTCCCATCATCAAAGGAGCTGGACTGTGCATGGAGAAGACAAACATTTGATGTCAGACAATAGCCAACATCTTTATAGAACTGACCCAGCCCAGTTTCTACTAACCACTGCCCCAATTACACCTTTTTGGTCTTGGACCTTCCTAATTTGCACTATTACACAGATCACACAGGCACAAACTTTGTTCTATCTTCCATAGGATTTTGTGGGAACAAATTGCACCTCCTTGTGGACTTGAGTCCTTGACTTGACCATTCCTCCAGCATCAAGGCACTATGAAAATGCATAGCCCTGTGGTGCTTGTGGCTGGTTGGTTTCGTCCAGATCCATAAAAATAGGCAGCCTTATTCCAAAGAGTAAACTTAAAGGTGTGGGGAAATGGGGGATGGATACTGTGAGCAAGATAGATTGTTCCTCTATTACCCCAACCAGTATGTGGCATTTGAATTCCCTCTTAACTTTCATTTTGGGGGGATTTCTTTTTCTGTACCTGTTAAAGCAACAACACAAGTGCCTATGCAAGGGCCTCATTATTCAAACGAGGAGTTAATATCTTCCATAACTATATCCAATCTTCATGGAATAATGGAAGATAGATAATTCTAATTTCATCAGAGAGGCGGCTGATGCTGGCACAACCAGTTTTCTACGGATGAAAGGCACTTCGTGTGAAATGTGCATATCTGTTTTGCTTTCGTATCCATTGCTGTCTGCATGTGCTGGAAAGTTGCGTCCAGTCGCAGCCTCCCAGCGTGTGAGTGAGAGGCACCCATGACAACGATCCACACATTCCTAAATTGAAGCATCTTCCACACGGGACATTTGTCATGTTCAAAGGGGTCTTTCTTACTGCTCGTAGTGAGATTGTGTGTTTGGGGGAGGCCGGGCAAGGTATGGAAGAAGGATGTAAAATATATACCATGTGCTGGATCTAAGCCACCCAGTAAATTGAGCCTTTGCTATAGTCCCAAGTATGTTGCTTTTTTTTTTTCCCTCGCAGCCAAGAGCAGAATTATTTTTCAGACATTTGATGGCATTCACATACATATTCACTATTCCTCCAACGTCAGCAACACAATGCAGATCTGTCCTGCTGCACAGCAACGTGAACCTTCCCACTGTAGCTCCCCCTTGCCACATGGATGCGAGGAATAGATGAAGCAAGAATTGGGTCGGAGTGCTGTGAATAGCAATGTTTTTTTTTCAGAAGCACCCTGACAGGAAAAGACAGACATTCATTTCAGATGCAACATGCAAAATAATGGATTTGTTTTTGCTCAATGTCTTTTTTTTTGGGGGGGGGGGTTATCTTGCAGATTCTGGTGCTGTCCCTTCCCAAATGAAATCCTTGAGTAGAGAAATTACAATGCCATCCCCCAGACTGACAGGATCTGATGATCTGGAAACAGTTTTTAATTGTATCAGATCCAAAATGGGCAGTGCAGTTTCTTGACATTTTAAGAAAGTAAACATACAGCATTGAACATGACCCTAAACTAGACTTCATATGGTTATGGGGGGTGGGAGAGAGAGAAGAAAACTTCAGCTCCACCTGAAAACCAGGAAATCCCTGATTGCACGTACTTAGGTTCCTCCAAGTGGTGAGTCTGGAGTTGAAATGTTGAAAGACAAACTTCAAGGGGTCACTTACAGCAGGGCTTTTCAACCTTTTCACCCATTGTACCACTTTTAGGATATGGTACAGGTAGTCCTCGACTTACAACAGTTCGCTTAGTAACTGTTCGAAGTTACAATGGCACTGAAAAAAGTGCCCCCCAAGCCACAGCCGAGCAAGACACCTGCCTGCCCATCCAGCAGCGCTCTTCCTCCTGTCCAAGGTTTTCATTGTGAGCATTTCTGTTGAAGATTGGCAGCGGGGGTGGGGTGGGTTGGTTTTTATTCCCCCCGTCTGCTGGGTAATTGCAGCAGGTTTTGGTCACTTCACATGACCCTGGGACACCGTGACTGTCATAAATATGAATCAGTTGCCAAGCATCTGAATGTAAATCACAAGACCCTGGAGATGCTGCAACATTTCAGATGATTGGTGCTTCTTCAGGGCTCAGCAGAAGCACCAGGATCAGCGCCGAGCTCCAGCTGGAGCCTGGCGCTGATCCTGGCACTTCCACTGAGCCCTGACAGCCCTGAAGAAGCGCCGAGCAGCTGGAAAGAGCACTGATCCTGGCGCTTCCGCTGAGCCCTGAAAGCCCTGCAGCTCCAGCCATCTCTCGCTCAGGCTTGTGCGGTGCTGCCACCGGTTCAGCTCATTCCCCTTCCCCGCTACCACTTTTCTAGGATTGTCGCGTACCATCTGCCAGGTGCCAATGTACCACAGGTGGTACCCGTACCACTGGTTGAAAAGCCCTGACTTACAGGACTTGGCAAGGTCTGAAACAGACAGTTTATAGAAACACAGAGAAAGCTATCTTCTAACTGCATCAGGTGAAAAAAATCGGCCCTTTGTCTCTCTATTTTTTTGTCAATGAGTGCAGGAGAAAAGAATTGTGGAATAAGCGATTGATTCAATGTACCTCTGTGAATACAAAGCATCGATCCATCTGATCCTTTTGATTATTTAACCATTCTTTGGGCAGGGGACCCAGAACAATTACTCCCAGGGTTGTGTGTGCAAAATATATGACAGTTCACATGTGCCACATTCATATGACAATCTAATGTTCACGGAAAGAAAACCAAGGGTCCAGTTCCCGGACACAAGGAGAAGCAAAGAAGTGTGAAAAGCTTTTAAGTGCTTCCAAACAAATTGGGTGTACAAACAAGCAGGATCAGCTAAGTCAAAGAAATGTGCGGTGTTTCCACATGAACTAGAAAAATGGAAGTTATTCTTATAAATCAGTCTGCCCATAATGGAAAATATTCTTAAGAGTATGGGAGGAAACATTCCTTAATGTAGCATGAATATTGATTGCTGGAAGATCCAGTGTCCCTTTACACATTCCCAAGTTCATGTCAGCTTTGAAGAGAAGGATGAATAGAAACAAGGACGTGGGGTTTTAAAAAATAAAAATAAAAATCTTATTGTAGTAGAGCCTTCCCCAACCTGGCGCCCTCCAGATGTCTTGGGGTTCAAATGACAAATCACAAGATCAAAATTGTTAGGCGGCAAATGAGAAAGGTTTCAATATATGTTTTCCTTGAAAATAATTATTTGATTGTCCTTGAATAGGATCAGTAATACAAGTAAATAAAAGGCAGCCATAGATATTTTGAAGTTGGGCTAGTGATCCCATCCATTTGTTAATCATGCTCATTATTAGCTACACTCAATCCAATTCAGCCTTGCCCATTTGGAAGGACATAACTTTAGATCATATTTCAATCGTATTAAAACGATTTAATAGATCCCATACACATAACTAGAGGGGAAATGGGTATCACGGCTTGGCCAAACCACAAAGAAAATGATGCCCTAATGTCTCAGCTAACCAATGTCCTGCTCTGTAATTCTTTTAATTGGCATCTTTCATCTTTGTCCCATGGTACTAGCTTTGCGTGGGGGAAATGCCATTCTTTTCTAACAATTATTTGAAGCCTATTAGTCAGAAAATCAAGTATAAGAAACAGCAGGGGTGAAAAGTTTGGAAGAGAGGACCTACAGCCTGGGTCTGCAATAAAGCACATGTAGGAACGAAGGGGCCCAACAATACCTTCTGGTGCTCCTTGTGTTTTCTGCCCAACTTGGTTTGATTGGTGGTTAGCCATAGCCTATGTCCTCATTTGGAAATACCTGTAGACTCACCTGCTCAGGAAAAAGATGAAGATGACATGGTGCAAAGCTTCATGGGAAGCATGTGTGTCTGTGTGTACTGGAACGATCTTACCAATAGGTCTCCTGATAAACTGATGTTTTGTGTTTGGCCATACTCACAGTAATAGACATTTTATGACAATACCAATAACATGGTTTAAAAACTTCAAATGTTGGTGGGGGGGAGGTGTCTCCTGATTAAACCAGAAACACTGGGAAGAATCCACAGTGTTGATGCTGAGATCAAGCACAGAGGGAAAGGCCATAAGAGGACTACATCTATCATTCCATTATTCAGTCTGAATGATTGGTTAAGTTTCATGTGATGTCACAATGCTTTTAGTTTCCCTCTTAAGTTCACAAAGGGCATTAGTTTTCTGTGATGTCATGATGGTCTCTAATAACAGTGGTAGAAAAAAATAACAAGGAGATTGCCTAGCTTACCCATTCTATCACAAACATGAAGATCTCAAGCAGGTCTTTGACTGGGATCTGTAGATTACCAGGCTGAGGGGGTCAAACATGTCATCAGTCATGAATCCCTTCGTTCCCACGAGAGATCTAAGTCCAGCCCACCTTGGATTCCTTATCTACCACCAAATTGCTTTTGACCATTAGTTGTTCAGATTCTTGTAGAGAGCTTAAGCTTACAATAAATCTTTATACCCATTTGAACTGCCTGGCTCTCCTGATTTCCCTGTCGCTTCAGGATCCCATTAATCAGAGATACTACAGTAAAAGACAGTACTCATTATTATCGACACTTATACCAATTCTCATACATTGCAATGGTATGTGGGGATAACCTTGGGAGACTGGCCCAGAGGTTGCCTAGGGCAGGGGTAGGCAACCTTGGCTCTTTTATGACTCGTGGACTTCAACTCCCAGAATTCCTGAGCCAGCATGGCTGGCTCAGGAATTCTGGGAGTTGGAAGTCCACGAGTCATAAAAGAGCCAAGGTTGCCTACTCCTGGTCTAGGGAATGGTCAAGTAAAGGACAGCATAATCTGCATCTGGCTAGTGGGTGGGGCAAGAGACTCAAAAGAGACACTTTCTAATTGGGGGGGAGAAGGGGTTAAGGAAATGGAAGGAGATTGTACTTTCAGACTGGCAAGATTCTGTTAATGTAGCCTTACAGTAAAGTAAAACTAGCTGATCTGGTTGTGTTTCCTGTAAGTCTACCTGGTAAGGCTGAAATCAATTTTGCTAGTCTGAAAGTACAACTCTTCCCCCACCTTCACACAACTATGGATTATGTTGTCTCTTATCTGACCATCCACTAAGCCAGTGGTTCTCAACCTGTGGGTCGGGACCCCATTTGGGGTCGATCGACCATTTCACGGGGGTCGCCAAGCAAGGCTGTCCGCCATTTTTTTTGTCTGCCATTTTTTCCCCTTTTCCGGCGGGTGCCTTACCTCCCTTGGGCTGGGCCAGCTGGTGGTCAGCCTGCTCCGTCTCTGCCGCTTGCCAGCTACGCCTCGGCTGGCGCAGGGGGCGGAACCACGCATGCGCGGCGCTCCCGGGCAGGGAAAGTCCTCGACTTACGACCGGTTGGGTAGTCCTCGACTTACGACCGGTTTAGTCCTTGAATTACGACCAGTTTAGTCCTCGACATACGACCGGTTGGGGTCATGGCATTAAAAAGGTTGAGAACCACTGCACTAAGCAGTGTCTGCGCCTGTCTCCCAAGGTACATTCCCACAATGCACTGTACACATAAATGAATTCAAATGTGCTCACACATAGCAGGAGGGACATGGGAATTGGTTCTAGAGAGATGATGATTTATGCATTGCACTTCACTGTAAATGTGAAGGTGCTACTTTAAAAAATGGGCAAAATAGTTTCAATAACCAATTATGGCTGTAGAGGTGCACATTTCACTACATGGCAGCAAAAGGTTAGTGTTTCCTGTTGCTGTCTCATGGCCATCCAGATAATTGTGTCAGGTATACGATCAAACTGATGCAACTCAAAGGGTACAAACTTTATTCTTCATGGAAATGCACAGTGTATAGGCCAGCAGATCATGTTTAATAATATTTCTATTAGGATAATGAGAAATGGTCTATACACACATACACAAACGAAGAGTGAGATGGAAGAAAGTTATATTTGTATTTGCCAAAAAAAAAAAAAAAAGGATGAAGATACTGTGGAAATAGCAAATCAAAGTTTGGGAACGCTACATGC